CCCCAAAACCCCAAAACCCCAAAACCCCTATTTTTAGATAGTATAAACTCGTATTCAAAAGTTAACTTGCTTTGCTTTTAAATTAAAATTCCTATAATAATTGAACTGATAAAATTAGAAGTTTTGATTAATCTCACTTCTTAGTGAAGGAAATGTTGATAAAGCTCTTGCTCTCGTTATTACTATTATTAGGATTAATTAAACCATTGCTATTATTTATCTGTTATTATAAGTTCTTTTACTTAAAGCTGACATTCTCTGCTAAGGATTTTTATAGACTTGACTTAGGTAATTTCTTTTTAAGCTGGCCTTTATTGTTGTAGATTTGAATTACTTTTTCTAAGCTACCATCTCTATGAGCTTAGGTGCTGTAGCCGTGAGATAACTCATGCTGTCTGTTTCTGTGAACAACTGAACCACTGCTAACTACTGGATCAAATTATGAGTTTCTTAGTTATCTCTCCCCATAGTTATTTTCAATAGGATCTTGAATTTACTTATTAGCAGAGGTATGTCCGCTATGAATCATACTCACTGAGTAATTAATAGGATTAGAACGACCACTTCCGGAATTAATAGCAAAATGCTGAGAAGTCATTATCACACTATTATTATTGTTATTGTTTGGCTAGTTCCCATTACCTTGAATTCTGCTCATAGTATAGTCAGTTGATATGTTTATTCCAGAAGAAATTTCACTGCCCTTCTTTGTTATCTCAGCTGAATTCTGAGTTCCAACAAGGTTTGCACTGCTAAGAAATAAGTTTTAATGGCTTTAAATTTGTTAGTTCTATGACTGATGCTATTGATTGAAAGATTTCTAATGTGAAAAGGACAATCTTTGTTGCTAAGACTAGGAATGATTGTGATTTGCCACAGAATGTGTGTTTTACTAAACATACTTTCTATGAGAATGATGTTGCTTGTTGCTATAAAGCTAGGTTTAGTCTGTATTCCTGCTTGAATCTAGATTATTATGAAAGTGATTGTGCACCTTTTTGTTACTAGATGATCTATGTGTTGCAGTGCTTGTGTCCAGTATATTTTTCATCCCTACCTTGCTGAAGTTCGCTCTATATTGATTGAATTAGTACAAATTTTACTATCTGAGTTTATGCTATGTTTTTAGCTGTAGAATTTCATGAGAAAGCTGATTCTTATTGCTCTTAAAAGTACTTTAATTAGGATCTTCTAGATCTTTCTTGGTTGAATTTTAAAGATTATTTAGAAGTTGGTTTTGCTTCTTAATTACATTTATAGACTTATTTAAAGCCTTGATTTATTCTAAAAGTATATTATCAAAATTCCAATAATACATAGTGATTTGCTTCTTTTGTGCAGGTCACTTTCTGTATTAGAATTCTCATCCTCATTGCCTTAATATTAGTTATGCTTTTGAATAATTGTTTCTGGATTTTAAAATGTAGAGACAATAGATTTATTATTTTGAGTCTGTAAGGAATAATTAACATTCAAGTTTCTTACATGAAAGTTTGTATTGAAAATTTACTATTTCATTCTACTTTAGCCATCCACTAAGTATGGATTGTTTAGTCCATCCTTGTTTCTCTCAGTTAAAGGTTCTTTGGCATATTCTAGAATGGACACAGATAATTTCTTGCTATTCTTTATACTCTAGTGATGATTAATAGAATCTCTCGATGTGTTGAGAATAAAGCTATTATTGCTGTTGATATGATTGACATTATTGAAGTGAACATTCTTCATCTCTGAGAATTATCTAAGCATATTCTAATTCTTGCTTATTACTTGCTATTACTAAATTAGCAAGTCCTAAGAATTCTATATTAAAATAAGCAATGAATCTAATTTCTTACCATGTCAGCGTAATCTGCCAGTACTTCAGGCAAGGTATTATTCTGATTAGTGCTGGTGATGTTTATCCTGCTATTTTGATTGTTTTAGTATTCAACTAGTGAACCCATGCTTTGTGATAAATCCTGAATGTTCTTTTTTAATTAGCCATTTTCTTTTTTAAGTTTATCATATTATCGCTGTAGCTCTTTAATTCTATCTAAAAGAGTCTCTTTTTCCTCTTTATAAGCCTATGATCTATCTTCTAATAATTATATCTTTTCAAGTCTGCTTATGAGATCATCCTCTTACTTCTTAATAATCTCGTTAAGCCGATGCATACTTTCACTGTGCTCTTAAACTTTATCAGCTACTGCATTATTAAGCCTATCACATTCCTTTCTAGAATGCAAGAGTTTTTCCTAAAGAGCATCAATGTGCAGTTTCATCTACTATTCAACTTTGATATGATTCCTGCACTCATTTTCTAAAGCTCTGAGTGCCTTCTCGTACTATGGGTGAGCCATAGGTATAGAGATTAAAGAGGAAACATAAGAGTGAGGTGAAGAAATTTGGTCCAACTTTTACTAAAGATCTAGAATACTGGATGAAGGAGTTTTGTCATCAATTTTTGGCATTTGCTTTGTTGTCAGTATTTCCTTATCCTCTCGAGAAGTGTTCCTAATCCTTTTTTTCTGGTCATTATTTTTTTTTAATGGAATGAATTCCCTTTCCTACTGTTGCTTTATTGCCTCCTCATATATATTCTGGCCATCTTCATCTGTTAATTAATCTTCTTAGTTGGCAACTCCATGTCCATCCTCAAATTTCATGTTCATTAATATTTCTATGCTAGATTTGACATAGTCTATAAGTGTAAATCCATCCACTTAAGCCATTTGCTCTTTCTCCCTGAGATACAAAGCTTCGTTATAATTATCGATTTCCTCATCAGATCTAATTTTAACTGAGAGGTAAAGTTCGAGTAATGCTTATTTAAGAGTTGCCTAGTTTTCTATTCTAAGATGCTTTGGTATCTTCTGATGAGTGAACAGATTAAATTAGTTGTTTTGAGAGTAAAGTTCATCATCTATGACTTTGTTACTTTAACTCTCAAGTAGATTAATAGGAGTTGAAGCCTGAATCTTTAATTGTCTTTATCTACTCACACTTTTGATTGTTGGGTCCATCTTAATGTCTTCTCTTAAGTTGTTCTTATTTTTGGTGACATCTAATGATGCCACTTACTGCGTTTATGACGATAATCCTTAAAACTATTAGAGCTCTGGACGAGTGAATTCTAATATAGCATCATGATTATATTGATGCTGCTGTTACTTTTAATAATGATGCATTTGATTTCTATTGTTATTCATTTATAACAAATGTCTTAATTATTAATTTTTTTACTTGTGAGTATCCATGCTGAAGGGGTTTTGGGGTTTTGGGG